TCAACTTACCGTGTTAAACTGAGGCTGGATATTGGACGGTAGGTGGCGGGTCGTGTGATGTAGCTCGCTCTCTCTCCTTAAACTCTATTCTGGATATTGCAGTAGTTATCTCTCTCTTACTTGTAGTTTGTCTTAATATATCACTAGTGGGATATATTTAATTTTCCTTATACCATATAACAATTCTCTCTTACTTACCATTAAGTCTTTATATATGTTTATTTGGGATATATTTAGTATTCCTTATACTATATTACAATATATGGTAGCTATAGTAATCGTCTCTTACTTATCACCTGTGTGCTATCTCTTAATTAACAGGTTTCTCGATGGACTGATATAAGATGAAGGAGGAAAAAAACAAAACAATATGGAAGGTAAAGTATCAGCACCACGATAAGGGAAGAAACACTCCCAGGGCAGGTACAACTCTCGTTCTGGCTCAGGTATAGCCCAGGTGAAGCCAAACACCGACCTTGGGAGCCATGTGTGTCTCCATCACGTATATCTGTGTGTGTGTGTGTGTGTGTGTGTGTGTGTGTAAATATATAATAGTTTCCCTGGATTTTTTATATATTTAACTTTTCTGGCTTTAGTGATAAGGTCCTCCTGTATTTTTATAAGTATTGTAGGATTACCGACCCAAAAAAAACACACACTGATTTTATAAGTTTTCTGGGATTACTGAAGAAAAACTTAATATATTCCATTACAGGGATTAATGATAATGAACATGATTTATATGTAGTTTTAAGGGGGATTACTGATAGGTAAATCTTCCTCTATATAAGACCTTTACTCAGCGTTAACTAATCCACTGCACCATTAAGTGATCATAATAACAATAACATTCATGGATGACAATAAAGAACACACAGACATTAAGACTGATACATTTATTTAAGAACATAATAGCACACACCATTAATTTTTTTAAAGAATTTTTTATTTATAATTTTTCTAAGTTTTTAACAGATCAGCGCAGCAGTTTCTTAGTTCACTCCCGACAACGTTAGGTAGCAGGTAAGGTGAGTTCTCGAGTCCTGATGCAAGGCGATCAGGGGAAGGCACGTCACCTAAGAGGATCGAAACAGTCACCTAAGATCACCACCTACTTGAAAAATCATCTCAACTCCCATAGGGGTTATAAGAACTTTGAGTAAAAATAATCTCACAGTCACCTATTTAGGTTACTTCGTGTCATAGGTGTCACATGTAGTCACCTGAGCAGTCATCTCAAGAGGCATCAGGCCACGTAGAGGTCGTCTTAGGTGATCAGTGGCCACCTCAAGACACCTAAAAGTGGTCACCTCAAAGTACTACTGGTTGGCTCATATCTTAAAGCGTTGACTTTAAAGAGGGTAATTGTTTTGATGTTGGTGGAGACAAAGTTATATAAGGTGCACTGTACTGTACTCCTCGACACAAACTTTACATAACAATGACCCGGAACATAAAATATCTCTATTGAATTTATAAATTTAATAAACAATCAATAAGTAAATACAGTTCATCATAAAAAAACACAAGTATGATGACTGTGAAAAGCAACATTCATTATATTTATAAATTTCCGTCATACACATATAATGGGTAAAAGACAATTAATGTGTATTTCTCATAATCCACTGCCATATAATGATCGAATTCCTGTGTAAAATTACCTGATCTGTGTTTATCCATGTTGTTCTCATTTGACAATAACAGAGTGTTATATTTCATAACTATATATAACAAAATAGGTTGTTAGTCAAAATAAGAGGATTGTTAGAAATTTATTTACTTGGCTAAAGATGGTAATACACTGTTGTTTAGAGACTTGTAGTATACACAATGTATAGACCTGACGCTCCTGGCCTGACGAAGATGATCAATAAACACAACTGACCCTCAATAAAGTCAACTCCCAGATCATAACCAATAAGATATGAAAAATCAGCTTCAAGTCCAGATAGAAAAGCTAAGCAAAAAGCACATAGTAACAGCTAATTTTATGAACACAGCTATTCCTCTACTGTAGTGATATGATACATTAGTGTAGTACATTGAAACACACACTATTAAGTCGGTTTTCCTGTTGGCTTTCTTTGGATTGTCGATGTTATGGATAGAAAATAAAGAGATACAAAAACACTGCCGTAAAGCAACA